TTCACTGATCCTCCCTCCATTTGATCTTCCAATTACTCCTATTAATTCTTTCATTTCTCTTTAAAAAAACATCACACATTTGCAGTTCAAAGCGAAGATGACGATAACTCTCCGGTTGAACAGGTGGCACTCACTGTTCCCATCACCGACGACCCCACTTTTCCGGTCGTCACTTTCCGCATGTGGGTTCCCGGCACTATTACTTGTTTCCTCCTCTCTTTCCTCAACCAGTTCTTCTGGTACCGCCGTGAGCCGCTCACCATCACCTCCATCTCCGCCCAAATTGCGGTGGTCCCATTAGGTCACCTCATCCAAGGCCATTACGGACCGAAGTTTTTTCAAAGGAAGCAAGTGGGAGTTCACACTGAATCCCGGCCCATTCAACGTGAAAGAACACGTGCTTATCACGATCTTTGCTAACTCAGGCGCCGGGAATCCTTATGCGATTCACGTGGTGAGTGCCGTGAAGTTGTTCTACAAGCAGAAGTTGAGTTTTTGGGTGGCGTTGATCGTCGTTATTACGACGCAAGTTTTGGGGTTTGGTTGGGCTGGTATTTTTCGCCGGTATTTGGTTGAGCCCGCGGCCATGTGGTGGCCCCAAAATCTTGTCCAGGTGTCCCTATTCAGGTATGGCTACTACAGCAAAATTATCGTAAGTATGAAATGTTGTGATGTATGATTCTTCTTACGATATTTTGAATCTCTAGATCTTATCTTAAAGTTTTCAGAAATCAGTTTTAATTTATACAAAAATAAAAAAAAGATTTATATGCTCAAGTCTCAACAGCTTACTCTTTCAGCTGCAACATTTCTTTTTCAGCGCAACATTTCTTTTGGGATAGAGGGGGTAGTAGATTACTAATGGCCGACATCTTTTGTCTGTCTTGTTCGGTGATCTGGAATGAATAGCATTTTGCAAAGGACATTCCATTATTTAAAAATAATACTAATGTAATATATACTATAGCAAGATATCCGGTGAGCATAAACATTTCCACGATGGAGTTAAAGAGAAATACGTGACATACTGATACACGCCCATCAGAGTATTTAACATAAAAAGGAAAGAAAAAGAAAAAATGCCTTTTCCATAAGAATTCTAAAATCTAAATGATAAGTGGTCTATTTGGGTCAACGTTTTATCCAAAAATAATTCACTACATATGTTGGTTTATAAATATGTATAGACTCACTTAATTGAATCCATGTAAAGTTGGATTGTTTTGTTTTGTTTTTTTAGCTCTCTTTTTTTCGGTTTAACGGTGGATATGGAAATTCTGTTCAACCAGTTAATTAAAGATAACAGACAAAATGACGACGTCATCAGTATTCTTTCTGAAGTAATTCCGTAGAAACTTCTGACAATACTATATTTTGTGCATAATGCATAATTAAGCAAGGACTATGAAATGAGAGTATTTTAAAAGGCTGCGGAGTTAAGTAATAAATATACATGCATGTTGATACAAAACAATGAATCGTCCCTCATTTGGGATATCTAATAAAAGAAAATTTATCATTATGAATTTATGATAATAGAAAAAGGGAATCCCAAGAGAAGTAGAATTTGATGCATCGACCTTTTGAGTTGGTTTGCCAACATTTCCTATAATAATTTGACGACAAAATTGAGAAGGTATTTACATATTTTGGTAGATAAGTGCAAAATGTACTAGATCATGTCTAGCAGGCTAAAGTTCCAACCACGAGCCAAAATACAAAAAATATTAAAATAAAATAAAATAAAATAAAAAGATGTTCCAGAATAGTCCGATAAACATGACATTCTATGCAATTATCATGAATGTGAGACACCATTACAAAAGGAGGATGATTAAAGGAAAAACATTTAACACCAAATTAACTCAAACCATGGTACAAGTCAGTTTTAGACACTGACTTCATTTGATTTTTGATTTGATACAAAGACGATTGAGCATTTAAACTTAATAAATTCGGCCTTTAAATTTCACCATTGAACCTATCAATTTTTTGAAATTATAATATAAAAAGTTAATATTTGTTGAACTTGTAATACTTTTACACATACACACATATATATGTCAAAAATATTGAAGTCCGTCTCCTTTAGATTTTCCCTTCCAATGGCAGGGCCCTTCACGATAAAGAAGAGAGAAGCAAGAATGGATTGACAAGAAACCAATTCTTCCTCATTGCTTTCGTGTGCAGCTTTGCTTACTATGTCTTTCCAGGTTACCTTTTCCCAATGCTAAGTTCCATATCTTGGCTGTGTTGGTTGTACCCTTCCTCTGTCCTGGGCCAACAGTTGGGTTCAGGGATGCATGGTCTTGGGATAGGTGCAATTGGGCTTGATTGGTCTAGTATATCCTCCTATCTTGGAAGCCCACTAGCTAGCCCATGGTTTGCTACTGCAAATATAGCTGTTGGTTATTTTCTCCTCGTGTATGTTGTTACACCTCTGATGTACTGGTTCAATGTTTACAAGGCCAAGAACTTTCCAATATTCTCGGATGGCTTGTTTAAAGAAAATGGTCAAGACTACAACATTTCAAGCATCATAGACCAAAACTTTCACATTGATTTAGAGAAATATGAGCATGAGGGTCGCCTTTATCTCAGCATTTTCCTTTCATTGACCTATGCATTCAGCTTTGCTTGCCTCACTGCCACAGTTGTTCATGTTTTCCTCTTTCATGGACGGTAAGCTGCATACTTTGATGTTATAGTAGCAATGGTAAAGTTCAGTTACTTTAATGTGACAAAATTGTTTTGTTACTTTATTGTTATACTGTGTAAAGTTTAGTAACTATACGTGAAATTAACTGTTGCACTGATGTAGAGAGTGGATACACCAGTTGACTAGTAATAGAGGTGCAGGGATCTATGGCAGCTCAGCAAGTCTGCTTTACAGGAGAAGAAAATGGACGTGCACACAAAGCTGATGAGGAAATACAAGCAAGTTCCTGAATGGTGGTTCCAAATTATTCTAGTAATAAATATTGCAGCAACTGTATTTGTATGTGAATATTACAAAAACCAGCTCCAATTACCATGGTGGGGTGTCTTGCTAGCGTGTGGTCTTGCCCTCTTTTTCACCCTCCCAATTGGAGTCATAACTGCTACCACGAACCAAGTAAGCCCATGGTTACCGTTCCGTATAATAGCAGCTTGAGATAGTCTGTGATTTTGTCCATCAGTAACATAGTTACTGCTCAATTAGGTAAAATTAGTTGCAATAATAGCTTGGTGTCAGTGTTGTGAATTTATTGTTTTCTTCCTTTGGCAAATCTGATATTCCAATTTTTTTGTCATTCAGACACCTGGTTTAAATATTATCACGGAGTACATAATGGGATACTTGTATCCAGGATATCCAGTTGCTAATATGTGCTTCAAGGCGTATGGCTATATCAGTATGAAGCAAGGTTTAACCTTTCTGCAAGACTTAAAACTTGGGCATTATACGAAGATCCCCCCTCGGGCAATGTTCATGGCTCAGGTTAACTTTTTACTATATCTTTTTGGCAAAAGAGAAGTAACATAATTCAAAAAGCTTATCTTAGTTCCTAGGTTTATAAAGACCTGTCACAAAACAGTTTTCTCTGCTGTAAACAATTTATTCAGGTAATTGGAACCTTAATATCAGCATTTGCACATCTGGGAACGGCATGGTGGCTACTGGACAATGTCCCAAATATTTGTGATAGAGCTCTGCTTCCTCAAGACAGTCCATGGACATGTCCAACTGATCATGTTTTCTATGATGCCTCAGTTATCTGGGGTTTGATTGGGTCGCAGAGGATTTATGGGAATCTTGGCTATTACTCTGCTACAAATTGGTTTTTTCTACTTGGAGCTGTAGCTCCTGCATTTGTTTGGTTATTACAGAAAGCTTTCCCTAACCACCAGTGGATTAGAATGATCTCGGTGCCTGTGTTATTAGCTGGAATAATCAAAATGCCACCTGCTACTGCTGTCAACTACAACAGTTGGATCATTATTGCTTTTATTTCAGGATTTGTTGTATATAGATACTACAAGAATTTGTGGAGTCGTCACAATTATGTTTAGTCTGGAGCGTTAGATGCAGGATTAGCATTCATGGGTGTATTGTTGTACTTTTGCTTAGGACAAGAGAATATTAGACTTCAGTGGTGGGGAAGTCATACAGACATATGCCCTTTGGCTTCTTGTCCAACTGCTGAAGGTATTATGGTTGATGGATGCCCAATTTTTTAACTGGTGCATAAAGATGCTACTTTAGCAGTCTCATTTACTTTGTTTGGTCATTTTCAAAAGCATATATTTTATATAGTGTTCCGTATTGACTATTGAGGATAGGAGGTTAAATTGCATTGATAGTGTAAAAATTTCTTTTGCATTTGCGTAGGGCAATATTGTTACATACATTTGTTTGTGATCAATCTTGTAAATTTCTTCCTATTATAGTATTTTAATTGTTGAATGAACTTCTCTTCAAAGCCTGGAAAAAAAGAAACTACTACATAAACTTTTCCTCAATGTTTTAATTTGTTTTGTTCCTTCTGCAATTTGAGTAAGGAAATGAGTAAATAACACCGGTGGAATTATATGCTAGATCCTAGTGTGTTATCAACTAATCAAATCAGTAACAAATAATTGCTACAAAATCAATGACAAAGTGAGTTAGAACCTGAGAATCGCCAGGTCAAAAAGCGAAGCAACGCTGAACAACTGAAGAAGAGTAACTCTTACAGGCGGTGACAAACTTATCCCTGACAGAATGTAGATTAGAGAAAGAAGGACAGTGACAAATGCCTATAACGGCGAATTTAATTACACTGAAGGTAAAACTTTGAAATTTAACCAGTAACGTTCTTAATTTGTTTAACAAAATTATTAGTCGCATTTGACAGTAACAAGAAAAATAATAAATCAGTGTAATGGTATGAGTCGATAGTAACATTTTACTAAAAGAAAACTCAATATAAAATATTTCTTTTCAAATTTCTGAAGAATTTGGTGAAATTTCAAATATGGGTCTGGTGGGATACGTGCTATACGATGTCGTAGTTTCATCGAATACCCGAATTATACTGTGAAGTGAAATACGGAGTAACTGTAAAACGTGGCAATAGCAGGTCAAGGATTGGGAAGATGGAAGCAAACAGTAGCTCGAATTCAACAAGAAATGCATCATCTCTTCGATGGAAGATTCTTAAACGTGCTATTCTTGGTGGTCCTTCATCCAATTCAGGTCTATCAAAACATATATGTGTAGAGCCCATTTTTGTCAAAGTTTTAATCTTTTATCATCTGAACTGGAATTGGGTGTATTTTAGATAATCAATCTGAAGTGGGTATTCAGCGAATATCAAGAAAGGCAACCCACAGCTTCAATTTGATACCATGCCGTGTGAAGAAAGATTCCCCTGAAGAAATCTTGGATTCTTCGTTATCAGAGAAGAAGCAGTTGCACAGCTCGCGAGATGCTGTTTTCTGCTACACATTGCCTGTTGCCAATGCTCCTCAACTTCTTCTCCAGTGAGTTTCAGTTTAAAAGTTTGAGACTTTCTGGGTTTTTTTCATTCTAATGGAAGCCAAATGCTATGTGTTATAACTGAAAAGTCCCATTTCATTTTCTGGTGCAAGTGTTGTGGTTTTTCTGCCTTGCAAAAAAGAAGCAACCAAAATTAAACAATAGTAATTATTTCGTTAATGGTTACAATTTATAACAACCTGGTTGATTGTGGATCTGCTCTGATGGTTTCTAATGCTTAGAACTTGATGCAGTCAGAGAGTGGATGATATTGCGAATCTTAGTGACTTTGAGGTCTGTAACAAATATGATATTGACAACACTGGGCTTGTCTGTAAGTATCTATCAAATATAACTACATTTTCTATTTTTGGTTATTTTGTGAACTCAGAATCCTAATGTACAAACTCCGGGAACAGCTGACTTGTTCTTTTCCAATTTGAATCATGATGTTTCTAGTAAAATGAGAAATCTTTAATTAACACTAGAACTCATGATCCTCAGTGAGTAGAATTAGTTATTCAAGGATCTACATCTCCAGGTTATGAAAAAGATCATTATGCAATATGCATCATTACTATGTTATACTCTGGGCTCGAAGAGGCATCTAGAGGAGTAACACCATAAGAAAGGACATCACCAAGTTTTTACCTTTGCGTAGTATAATAGAATTTGTTCATGGAGACAGAGGCGGATTCAGGATTTAAATTCTATGGGTTCAATTTTATGATTTTTAACATTGAACCCATTATATATTTAAAGCTATGGGTTCAAATCTATTATTTTTGCAATTTTAATGAATTTTTACACATAAATTTCTACTCCGCGTCAAAAGTTATGGGTTCAATTGAACCCGTAACTCTCACACTGGATCCGCCTCTGCATGGAGAAACCATTTTTCTCCCTTATATGAAGTCTGACCGAATGCTAGGAGGAAACCTTGTGAAGTAAAACTGAGGCGCCCTTGTTGTCATTTGTTCTTTGAGTTTGCTAGGAGTAGAGCTGATTAATCTAATATCACCCAAACACTTGGATAATTTATTAATATTGCGAAAGTGATTCATTGCTTAGAAAGAGTACTATCTATGACTCCGTACTATTGTCAGATGAAGTGAAGGACCGACTACTTGCTTCAGCAATATCCCTTTTCATATGCCATAAGGAAAGCCAAATGCTTCCAGACTTGAATGAAGTAGCTTATCCTTGTTTTATTACCCTGGTTTTTTCTATGTAAAATAGTTTTCTTTAGCTTTAAAGTTTTTTGAAACGATCTTTTATTCTTTCAAATAGAACAGTGTATGAGAAACTTGTCTATTCTTATAAAAGTGGACATTTTTGTTAAAGGCAAATGTTTTAAGCAGATATACACCTTCTGAACTTTGTAGTCACAAATTTCAAAGAATAAGAGAATATGTTGAACAAGTTTAAAGAGGACATTTTGTTAAAGACTTAAAGGCATGAGTTTTGACATACACCTTTTGAACTTTGTAGTCAAAATTTCAAGAATAAGAGAATATGTTGAAAAAGGAGACAAAACAAGATGTTGAAAAAGGAATGATAGAGAAGACGACATATGTTGAACTTTGAGGTCCCTGTGATTTGATGACAAATGAGGAGAGAGCATGTGATGGTTCTCTGAGATTTTGCAAAGTATTTGAGGAAAGAAAAGATACTTATAGTATGAAAAAGTTTTTTTTAAGTGTTTCTTAAACGTGTATATGAATTTTCACTTTATTAAGTTTCAGCATAAAATATGTTGGTAAAAGCTCAACTGTGGAGTTTATAATCTGCTTTTGGGCCTAAAATTCAGGCTGTAATGTTTTTGCTACTTATTGAATGGACAGGTTTCCTCTAGTACCTCTGCTATCAAATTAAAGTGTGTTTTGCTATTTGTATAGGAGATTGTGCATTCAGTTTCAATCAACCTAAAAGGTCCATCTAATTTTATCCTTTGACTGCTGCTAATGGATAGACATGATTCATTTAGCCGACCTCAACTAGCTCTGTATTAGGCGTAGTTGCTGTTGTTGTATTGCTGCTAATCTGTCCTAATTTATAGACTTTCTTCTTGAGTAGGTCAATGGCCGTCTGAGGAAGTCCTTGCTTACTACTGTTTGGCACATCCAGACACGTTCAGGTTTCATATGTGTTCTAAGTCAAATTGAATGTGAATTTTATTTTTCCACCTGAAAGTGATCTGAGTTACACATTTGTTGGACTTTTTAAGGCAGAAAAGTGTCATTGAACTTGGATCTGGATATGGCTTAGCTGGATTAGCTGTTGCAATGACAACAGAAGCATTAGAAGTTATCATATCAGATGGAAATCCTCAAGTCGTTGGTTGTATCCTTTTTCTCCAATGGCTAGATGAGCATAATAATAACACTTAGTTTGTCCACTGGCCACCGACCACTTTTTGACACAAATACGTGATGATAAGATGTTGTTATGCTTTTAAGCTTCTTTTTCTCTCTTCAACTTTTTAGATTCATCAGTATCGACCTACATTGGGGTGGTTCCTCTTATATTCCCGGGGGACCATCCTTATATGAGTAAGGAGGAACAAGCACAAAGACTGGTGATTGCTAACTATTCTCTCAATATCTGAAGACATACAGTTTGGTTGACCTAGTATACGTCTCGACTAGAAACATTATCTGTTATTAGAGGTAGCTGAATGGACTATCACGCCCTTTTATGTTTAGCTTTTTCTTTTTACTGATATTTCGAACTGTTCTTTACTTGTTGGCTCCAATATAACCGAAACCATATTACTGGTTTGTAAACGTTGACAGAGGTGATGCTTTTCTTTTTCATTTTCTTTAAAGTTCCTGCGTTAGATTTAGAGCTAACAACGAAATTCCTACCATTTATTTTACAGAAATTTAATAATTGTCATCTTTAGTTCCTACCATGTATTATCTTTAGTTGGCATTTTCTTAATGTTCAGATATACAGCATAATATAAATGCCAACTTTGGTGGATTTGGTAGTACAGAAGTGAAGCCATTGATGCTACATTGGGGTCTGGATAAAGACTCAAATTTCTCCAACAAATTTGATATTATCATCGCAAGTGACTGGTAGTTCTCTTCTTTATTTTTCTTGCTAAAGTACATATATATTTTTTCCTCATTGACCATTCTGCATGAAGTGATGAAGGTCTGAAAAAAGTGTTTTATTTCTCTGTTTCACTATCTTCACGTCAATACTAACCAATGTCCACCACAGCATAACGAAATAATATGCCAGATGCTGAAATTCCTTTTTGTGACACACAATAGTTGCACATATTAGTACAGACAGTGCCCATGCTGGCTTACATGTCTAACAATTTCCATGATACTGTATACTTTTATTTAATCGTGTAGACAACCTTATTGCATCTTTGTTGACAGATAATGTAATTGGTCAAAGAGATTTCGTTATTTGCATCCATCTATAATGAGCTAGAACTCTTTGCGAAATCTTTCGTTATTCATTAAACTGGACCCTTTAATTTATTACAAGAACTAAATCAGAGCTAGCTCAAACACAACTATTGTCAAAATAATAATAATAATAATAGAAATTAAAGAATAAGAAATAAAAAAATCATCCAAAGCTTTACGTTTCATTATGTTGAGGAGTTTCTGCTATATGTTGACTTCATTTATAATTTTGCAGCACTTTTTTTAAGGAATTCCATCCAGAACTTGTCCAAACCATCAAATTGTTGCTGAAAAGGGAGGTCTCCTCTGAAGCCATACTTTTCAGTCCCAACAGAGGTGATTCATTGGACAAGTTTCTACTAAAAGTGAAAGATAGTGGCTTGCGTTTCAGCGTAGATGAGATCTATCATACAGAAGTTTGGAAATGTCATCAGGGATTCGTTAATGGTGATGATTCCTGGCCTAACTATGAGATGGATCATTGCTATCCTTTATTGGTCAGAATTACGTGGTGAACATTCGCAATGCAGGTTTACTGCTGTTTCAATAGTTGATCGAAGTGAAATGTTTAACTCTGGAAGAATGTTCTGATTCGCATTGAAGGACAGTTGAACTTCACATCTTCACTTGAACAGAAGCATCACTTAGATTTACTAAAAGAAGGCCACCTTAGTTCAGCAAGTTCCTTCTTTTTTCCATAGTATTTCAGCAAATAGTTTGATATCATAGCAGTTTTATATCTAGATTAATTTTTTGTATCGTCAGTTCTCAATTGTTTATTAAGGTGTTGATTCACATACTATATGAAGAGGAGTTTAATATCCTGAATTATACTACTTCCATAAGTAGGATCCAATATAGTAGTATCAGAAAACCTCTCTTTGCTATGTATTGATGTTCTGGATCTTGCTGATGAATCTGTAGTTAACCTAAGAACAAGAACTAGTTAGAAAGAAATTGATAAATGACCTTGACAGTGTTTTCTAAGGTTCTGACGCCATCCTATTTTAATTGATATTTAACAGGAAAAAGGTCTCAATGGACCACTGATGAAACCAATGGTGGCATTAGAATGTATAGAAAGTTGAAATAAATGAAGAAGCTAGCACGTAGTAGATAGGTAGAGTCCTTATCTTCATAAAAAAAAATGAGCACTCTTTCTTTTCTTGACATTTGGAGGTATCCAACTTGGCTAAAGAATATTTTCTCAGCAGATCAGACTACCTCCAATCTTTTCTGTCAACTTTCAATGGCCAATCCTTGTCCCAAAGTATTTGTATATTGAGCTTCATTTCAGATTCCAAGTGACAATCATTGTTGTTTTTTAGTGCCTAATACTCTTGTGCAATGTGAGTGTTGAAAGAA